TGGTTCGAGTAGTATGAGACGTGCATTGGGTTGTGTCAATTTGAAGTGGTTCGAATAGGGTCCAGTAAGTGTTGTTGCACGGAATGAGTTGAGTTTTGGTAATAATATTTTCCAATTAGTGTTTGATGCTATGGAGCATAATATTTGGTGGTATTACTTAGCATTGCGATATGTTGCTAGATGTGATGCTAATTAGGTTGTTAGTTGGGATTGGGTGTTTTTGGTCTGGTCTGGCGTTCGAGTGATCGTGAGGCTAACCTTAACGGTTCTCTGCCCTGTATATTAGTGCATGGTAAGAATCGTTGGACCATCGGTCCAAACCCATTATTTGGCTAGCCTCCATTCTGCAGAGGCTAAGATTCCTAACATAATCTGAACAACACAACACACCGCATCACATCCACATCCACATCCACGTGGACAACATCTACACTCCTTATTACACATTACCCCTAATTTGATCTACCGCAACACTCACACTCGCTCTAACACTACCACTACCACTTGCACAAACACTGTCAATCCATTTATAATAGTGCCAATATTACCACCAATCCACATGCCTAACACTCACAGCAACATGCCACAGTCGCGTAAACGAACACTTCAGTGGCTATCCGCCACATTAGATGTCCCATACTTCGGTCCCATCACAGTCATATGCGCATGTGTTTTGTCGCATTATTGATGAACTGCTAAAGATGGGCAAAGTACACGATATCGGTTAGCCCCGTTGTGTGCTCGTGTTCTGTGAGAGTGTATACAGATAGTTTAGTGAGAGGGAAAGGTATGGAATGAGATGGGACGTAAGGGAACGGAGTGGGATGTGATGTGTTTTGGTGTGTTCTAATCTCGTACGATTTGGATGAGTGGAGTATAGTTTGGCTCGGTCTGGTTTGGCGTTTTCTTCGGTCTTATGTTACGTTATGTCATGTCATGTCATGTAATCGAATGGAATGGAATGGAGTGTGAGATTTTAGTGTTTGATTGTGTTTTTCGTATGTTTTATTGATGGATTTGGTTCGAGTAGTATGAGACGTGCATTGGGTTGTGTCAATTTGAAGTGGTTCGAATAGGGTCCAGTAAGTGTTGTTGCACGGAATGAGTTGAGTTTTGGTAATAATATTTTCCAATTAGTGTTTGATGCTATGGAGCATAATATTTGGTGGTATTACTTAGCATTGCGATATGTTGCTAGATGTGATGCTAATTAGGTTGTTAGTTGGGATTGGGTGTTTTTGGTCTGGTCTGGCGTTCGAGTGATCGTGAGGCTAACCTTAACGGTTCTCTGCCCTGTATATTAGTGCATGGTAAGAATCGTTGGACCATCGGTCCAAACCCATTATTTGGCTAGCCTCCATTCTGCAGAGGCTAAGATTCCTAACATAATCTGAACAACACAACACACCGCATCACATCCACATCCACATCCACGTGGACAACATCTACACTCCTTATTACACATTACCCCTAATTTGATCTACCGCAACACTCACACTCGCTCTAACACTACCACTACCACTTGCACAAACACTGTCAATCCATTTATAATAGTGCCAATATTAACACCAATCCACATACCTAACACTCACAGCAACATGCCACAGTCGCGTAAACGAACACTTCAGTGGCTATCCGCCACATTAGATGTCCCATACTTCGGTCCCATCACAGTCATATGCGCATGTGTTTTGTCGCATTATTGATGAACTGCTAAAGATGGGCAAAGTACACGATATCGGTTAGCCCCGTTGTGTGCTCTTGTTTTTTGAATGAGGTAATAATTTTCATTGAGATTTGATTCTGTTTCTTTATTTACATCTTTGGTTTCTTTTGTTCATCCCCTCCGGTGCTTCTATCCTGGATGCTGTTTTGATTCTTTAGTGGTACTGCTGCGTATTCGTTTGAATTTAAGTACTGCGACTTTCCGTTATCCTTGATGAACAGTATCGGACTAAATAGTCTGTCACATTTAATAATCCAGATGGAATTCAGTTGAATACATCGTAATCGGTTTAGGGAGCAGCACTTTTTGTGGATTAGAAATGGCGTAATAATATGAGCAAAAGTTTATAGAATTACCCTACATTCCTAGTTCATCAGTAGCCAAATTTAGGTTCATACGATGAACCTGTGGCCAAATAAAAACCAGGAATGTATGTTTTTGTAATTCTGCTGTCTCCTATTTCTCTCTCAAGTGGACAAGGCAACCTGATTTCCATCAACTCAGATTATGAAAGGTCAAAATCTAACCAGTCACCGCTTTTAGTGGGACGATGTGAGATGCAAGCCATCAGCGGTGTATTCGTACCCAAAGAACATATTGTACAAGTCGTCAATCCGTCTATATCTTGAATACCGCACCCATTTTGGGGAGGATCTTGATTTTAACCAACGCCAAGCCCGCAATCTAGTCGAACCCAACCTTGCAGTCGCCTGGCCGTTGCTTCACTCTTCTTCCTACCGATATCGCCATGAATAGTGTCCTCAGGAACTTCGTTGTGGTCCATATTCTCTTTGTTCTCTGTCTGTCTTACTGTGCGCCCATCCAAAGTGATTGGCCTAAATTAACGCACTGTTAGCTTGCGAGAGTTCAGGAAACCGTTCCATTCATCAAAATCCATGTTACAAACAATATTTCTCATTTGTATGAACCAACTTCGCCGGAATCCCGATTGTTTGTTTTATTACTTTAAATCCGTCAGAAGGCGGACTCTCACCGTAGCCTTGAGCGTGAGTCGTTTAGCTCGAACTTCGTTGTAACTGTATTCGGCAAACTGATCTGTTTCTAAGTTTTCGCTGTAATTCAGCTGCAGCTGTTGATTTGTTGTTCAGTTTGGAGCGTAAAAGCCCGGAAGGAACACTATTGAGGTTTGATTATAGTGAAACTGCTCAATTTGTTGTATATAAAACCATAGCTGTTTGGAATCGACTTCGTTTTGAATTGTGTCGAAATTGGTTGCCGTGCGTCGCTCGAACGTTCAATTGGTCAGACTTTACAGTTAGTTTTATTCCTTCGTTTCTTCCCGAGAATTGCAGAATCGTGGAACACCCGTTCCATATCAGTTTTCCTTTCTCGAGACCTTCACAGTTCGAAACGCATAAACAACAATCTTATATTCACGGGACTTTCCACAATGGTCTTCAGAGTAAGAAACCCTAGTGCAACTTATGTTCGTGTAACAAAGAGGCCAGATAACATGTTGAAATACTACTAGCATGGCCACCGATAACTTTGCGGTAAACATGGTACTTTAGAAGCTGTACTCGGTAAATCCCGGGGTCATTGATTGTCCTCAGTTGGGGTCAAAAACCTGCTACTGTTTTTTCTTACCAGTAGCCAAAAAAGAAACTCTAACCTAAGGATGGTGATATTCCTATTGCTTCACGAATGGAAATATGCTAATCAAATCTATCTCAGAGAATGCACGATGTGTTCATTGTAATTAGAATGATTGCGCTATAGATAGATTTACTCCAATTGCGTCTCGAACGTTTTAGCAAGTGGATTGCGCCAAGGGTTACAATTTCAACGAAAACTGTTAAATGAGCGACCAGTTTAAATTCGTTATAAGCCATAGAAACGGGACATGGCAACGTAAGTTGTCCAGTGTAACTGACTACAATTGTGATGTTTGGAAATTCCAATCTACAGTCAGCAGGAGTCAAAGTTGATTCAAAAACTCAGAGCTGCAACGGATTACCACATAGACGGGTTGTAAACCGAGGTGTGTTGCTAAGTGATGCGCAAGACACGCGGTGCCAGTGAAACTGATCAACAATGGATTACAGAAGGGTTGTGTGGGCACCACAGGAGTGATTTATTGGTGCCGCGTTTGTTGCTGATTTGACAAGACTAGCAGGCTCGACCACGTGAACCAAAGGCCAGAAGAGTCGGGGCTACGGATATGCGGTAATCCTAAACCTGTCAAAAATGAAAAGTCACCTGCCATCGACAATCAGTAGATGTTTTCCAGACCGACCGAACGAATCGGTGCAAACGTTTCAAAATGAAAGGAAGTCGAGATTCAACAGCTGAATGGATGGCAGTGGACAAGGTGGGAAAAGATGCACATGGATAGGGCCGAAAAGCGGTCCGCGAGCGTTTATGAAATAGGACAGCCTGACTTGAAGTCATGTTGAATACGATCGAAAGCAAGCATTCTGAACTGGCCTGTATGCAAAGCACGAGTGGCAAAATGCGAGAACAAGAGTACTTAACATCACTTCAATGTTAGGCAAAGCCGATGCGGTAGTAATCTGATAGTGAACAATTATTGGTAACAAAAACCAAGCGAAATAGTTTCACAAAAGTGACAAAAAGTGGAATAGGTTTGATGTTTCCTTAGTCGTATCGGAACAAATAGTACGACAGAAACGGACTAGGTAAGAGCGATAAATCAGAATAATGAACGGCGAAAAACTGACAAGCAATAAACAAAAATGTGCGCAACTGAATTTTGATTGGAGCGACTTTGGGGCCTGATTTCAGATGAATGCAGGACATAGGTGGAGAGCGAACGCATACCAAAAATTCCTGTAGAGAAGAATGAATGAAGCCAGTGCGTCACTCTGATTTCTGAATCAACAAAAAAGAATACGAATCACATTGTGTGCGATGCGTTTAGGATATCCCAACTGCTGAGTTGTTTCAACAAAAAAATCGGTCAACAAGTAAGAATGGAGAAAACAGATCCCAGCGATACGCACGTAGAAAAATGGGAAGACGATCTGACAGTAGTGACTCAGCAGCATGGCGAATACACCCAAAAAGCCGACGATTAGTTTAAACGGACACAGGCGGAAGAACGCTGTGGAGATGATTAACGCAAAACCCTTGAGCATCGTTTTTCGACACACGGAATGCGTCAACGTATCACGCGTAAACGCACGATTGCGCAGTTACGTAGTTGTTATCTTATCTCACTCAGTGATTCGTGTGATAGATCCGCAGGCGGATGAGGACTGTGGGCACGGATCTCGCATTTAGGTGCAAACAGTCATGGGACCGGCGAACCCACAAGACGAATGAGTACTTTGGCATATCCGTGTAACTCCGATTCAACGGGAACCTGACCCGGAGCAGGCGGTGAATTCTGAAAAGAAGACGAAATCACTGAAGACTATTTACATGCTTTTGTTCGCGGAAGCTTCTCGGTGGGTCTGTATTATTAGATACTTTTTGTTCAGATGAAAATGAATAACAAAAACAAAAGTTTCGTATGACTTCGTTCATAAACCTGTGAATCTATAATAACTGGTTAACGGCAAGGTGGTCTTATAGTAAGCTGTTGGAAACCTAGTTAGCGATTATTACTATGAATGCTGGTGAGCGAGTTCCTTGACGAGACCTTGAGTAGTAAATAAATAACGCCTAGAACCTCCGCTTCGGCTTTATTAGTGTATTAGTGATTTTGTAAGCTGAAAGTTCATAAACGCTCTCTGAATGCGTACGAAAAGCAGCAGTTTTGGTGGTATCCACAGCATGAGAACCAGCTAACCATCCAACTTCACTTGGACAACCAGTGACCATCCCAAAGTCATAGAAAACAGTTTAAATGAGAACAGTTCAGCAATACCGGAAAAATAGTAGTCAATCAAAGTTTTGGTTTCCGCAGGTAATCTTTCTCCAAACCAGTTTACTTACACATAACATAACATAGTGCATCGCTTTTTCCACACACTGAACCGGTCTCGGCTCCGATACATTGCCAACCGCAAATGGTTCTGAGGAACTAATCAGTTCTTGAGATGTTTTGCAGTGCTTGTGCCTTCAGTGGTCGACTACAGACAAACAGATCAGTTACGAATACAAGATTTCGCGCATGTAGGTAGACAGTAAATGTCGAAAGTCAGTCGACTGATACTGATTCACAGCGAACATTGACTGCGTTGGATGTTTTCGTACGATCATAAAAACGGCGTTTCCTAATTGGTCGGCAGGAGACTTTTGTTTGACATATTTGTAGAGAGCAGGTTGCAGGCAGCCTTATTGTTGTTCGAACAATGTAAGCATACGATCTTGTTGATGCGCTTAATGAGACTTGGGTTCGGGGAGTTTTGACTGCGTTTTGTAGATCGAACACAAGCAACCCCCCGGAAGGGGGGAACACCGATTCTTGTGTACTACATATTCTACGTCGAGAAATGATTAGTACAAAACGGTTTATAGACCGCCGAGGAATTTACAACGATTGGAATTCCCTGTAACGATAAACTGACTGTTCTTCTTGAAGTATTGACTTATGGCACATACAGTAGACGGTTCTACTGCCGCTCGAAAAATATTGATTTCTTTTCAAACGAAGAGTTCACCACTTCAGATTCCGGTTACTCCAAAAACAATGTAGACAATATTACGATAGCTTGTTACCACATCTGTCCTATGTGGTTCTCTCTCATTCCAAGTCTCAGGATCAGGTAGTCGGTAAGCCTCAATAGTGCAGTGGGCTTCCCACTACACCCATGCGCAAATATAGAATTAAAGAGCTGAAACGACGGGAATTTTAGTTTCCCTTGTTTAGACACCATTATTATACCCCTTGTCATTCCTCTAAAAAATCCCATCCACCAATCTTCGACTTTTTATATTCAAACATGGAGAAATTGTTCAAATCTGACCACAACTGCCCAATTACGATCCTTGAATAATCCAATGCCTATAATCAGGATTAGCACTCAACACCCAGCAGACACTCCTACCTTGGGACGCGAAACTAGCTCGTTGACATTTTCAAACATTCGCTATCAAACCGGGGAACGTGTTCATACACTCGATCACATTCTATTCTCCGTCCTTTCTCCTTTCATTTGACTAAACGGATGTCTATCTTATCTTCTTATAAACCACATTCTGTATCTGATTTTACCACAGGACCGAACGGTAATATAAAGGATTTCTGTCCTCCTTATTTCTCCTCATCTGCAACTCCTAGTTATTTTGCTTGGGGACCGTTTTTTTCATCTAATTACGTAATGCGCGACTTTTATATTCCTGTCATGCTATCTTCATTTGTAGTATAACCAGATAAGTCCGCTAGACTCTAATGCCACTTAGACATTAACCATCTTGTGTGGACGATATTACGTTCATCTCAAAAGAATGGATCTCGGAGTTAACTTCCCTGTTATTTAGATTCTCTTTCTCACCGACTTATCTCCATTATCTGTCATTTCAAAAACAATAGAGACTATGATACCTGATCAGCTACGCCCGTTGCTCGAACTTGAATAACTTCTGAACGACCGGCAAAACGGATTTCGGTCCAATTTATCCATCAGTGAGCTACTGAGTCTTGTTTCGCTCGCCTTGTCAGGAGCTCTTGATATCCATGAGAATCATAAACGGACTCGCTAGACGTATCGCAAGCGTTCGACCGTGGCTGGTGGGTTGCCTCAAATCCTTGCATTATTGGCATAAAGCTGTAAAGGCAACCGGGTCATCCCCACCCGATTCGGTGGGGCTCAACCGCAGTCTGTTCCGTGGAGCTAGTATTCCCAATGGTTCAGGGCTGTGGTTACTGGTTCTTCTTCAAAGTCCACTGGAACCTTGTGGTTGTGGATATGCCACTTTTATTGCACCCAAGCATAATCACAGAACTGAAGAGTGTACTGTGAGGTGTTCACAAATGAAATCTGATTTATTCCTGCTCCTATATTTCGTCTCATTTACTCCCATTTCATTATATAATATCAGTACAATATTTCAGGAAGGGAGCCGCGGTCATTTAAAGGCTATCGATTGGGAGAAGTGACCGGCAGTGGCGCGGGGATTCAAACCCGTGACAGAAGCGTCAGAGCCCCACCATGAAGACCGTGTGACCACCACCAGCCGCGAAAATCTGCCATTTCTAGTTCCGTGAATCCAGTGTGGTGAATAAAACATGGGCAAGCAATAATTTTCCGAATACGGGTGAAAGATATCCATCAAACATAGGTAAGTGGAAACCAATGTCCTACTTCTAAGTACTCAACCATAGAAATATTTGAATAGATAAACTGGATCTCTCAGTAAATTTTAAATAAACTTTACATCAAGCAAGTTCAACATGAAATTGGTTATGAGTAGTGTCTCTGATGCCTGACACACGTACTGAAGTTTGCAGTGATTCCCCATCGTATTTACCACCGGTTTGGTGAACCTTGTGGAAATGGAATTTTCATGGATACGCGTAAATTAGGCGAAAAATCTGTCTTTCAGGTGCACTTACTCAATGAGATGAAAAAAACAATCAATAATGCAAACATTTCTAGACAATATGTAATACACATTCCAATGTTTCTGCATCAAACTTCCGAGGTGCACGTGACTAAGTACTTTGCTGTAGGAGAGAACTGTGATCGGGACCGGTAGAAAATTGAGTAGTCAGCTCATGACTGCAAATGAAATTTTGGATCATAACAAACAAACAAAGAAAAACTCACCAGCGGGAACACACGTTCACGGGCAGCGGGATTGCTGATTAACTCGCTCATATTATGTGCCACTGAATTGGAAGAAGAGTCGAAACCTCCGGGTGAGCATGCGAGACATGCATATATGAATCGAAATAAGGCATTGTAAAATCTTGGACATATTCTCACAAGAGTACACCATTATTTATTTGACAAAACAAAACAACAATCCATTTGACGATAGATGGGTCAGATAACCGTTAGACCACAAAAAGTGGCTGATTGTGATAGTAATAGGAGGAGGAGACCTACGTGAACACAATGGATGTCGGATTAGATTTGCACTTACTTGCTGTTCAGAATAAACCGAATTATACCTAATCACCACCCCGCAGCAAAACAGCTGCCTCCCAAATATTATGCCCGTGTACATGTGCAGTGGAAGGCCTATACACTACCAATAGACGGCTCGGTTCAGTCTCAGGAAGCCCACCATCACCCGTCCAGAATGAACGGTAAGGTCGAAGGCAGCGAATGAGACTGTGCATGGTCGGATGTCCAAAATCTCAGGCAAGAGTGTAGTCAATCAAGCGGATCGACTGACCAATCAGCGGCTAACATTTGGCTGAACTGACCAAAGCTGAATTAACCAGTCTGGGTGCAACCGAACAAACCAGCCAGGTAAGTGGTTTAGGAATATCAGTGAACTGATACGCTCTCGTGCAAGATTTTGATCATGATAAGTACACATCTTTATATATATATATATATATATATATATATATATATATATATATATATATATATATATATATATATATATATATATATATATATATATATACGACTCTTTCTGTACCAATAAACCGAAATAGTTCGAATTCAGAAGAGTTTTCGCACCAGATAAGTGGACGGCTACGGAACAGAAGGAGCACTGCATGAAAGAAAACCGACGGGCTAATCCTGAGACCATGAGTGCGGAGTGCCACGTTGTCCTAGTGAATTAGGCGCGATGACGGACTTGACTACCATGAAAAAGTCGATGCGCGTCAAATTGTGCGACTCTTGGCCACGATTTCCTCACTGCAACCTTCAGGGCGAAAGCAGTTAAAGAGGTATATCCCATAGTCTCAAAGGCACTATTAGGGATAATTGGGAAGCGGACTCTGAAACTTGGAGTGGTATTGAAATACATTAGCTCCCGATAGTTCAGGTGAGATAAACAACTGGCCAGCAATGGGTTACTGTCTACCATTAAAAGAGGTCCGAGTGCACATACCGAGAGGGGTCAGGCAATTCCAGCTTGGCTCAGTCCTGCTAGACAGTAAATTCGGACCGCGCCACTACATATTCGGTTATATTGGATTTAATGCACTTCCTTGCTTTTACACAAATTTCATTCGCGCAGGCATCGTCAGTTGAATTCGGCAACTGCTAACGTCTGGCTTCGTGCACAATGTGGCGTCTAGATGAAATTTCGGTTCACCATGGACTACGCATCTGAGGAGTGACCACCGGCTCGGCCTCGGACTTACACTCAGGTTTCCGTGTCCATGTATACATTGCGATACCCTGGTCACCAACTGGGCGGTACCCAGTGATCATGGTGTTTTAGTGCTAATACAAGTGAGTGAGTCCTTAAAGCAGCCTCGCCTTTATTCCTTATGAAATCCGTCGACAACTGTCCATGCAGCCCACGATATACATTTCCAAATCCATTTGCCTTTTCAAAGGCGTTATCTTTTTACTTCTGTCACACCTGGGACTTCATACGAAACTCAATCGATTCTGCAACTGCCTAGGTTATATTGAGTATTCGGACAAATTTCTATTCAAAAAAAGCATTTTTCATGTGCAGTCCAACCCACAAAACCCAACCTAACATTACCTTTCCACAAAACTGTTTAATTTTTGAATAATTCACAGTCCTATTTTTGTAGAAACTTTTCTCCGCCAGTTGGATATTTTCACGAAGACCTCCATTTGTTGTTCTCCTGCTGCCCACGTGACCTCGTTGACTGATTCACGCATGATTTATGCAGGGGCCGCCCGTACAGATTATACAAACGGTAGAGGTGACACCTCAGTTTGATTCATGTTGGTCGTCACCAATAAACGCGTGGTATCCTGTCGCGTCTAGCTTCTTACTCTAGCTAGCGGGTGGGCCACAATCATTGAAGTCGAGTCTTCTGTTCGAGTTAATGGCCAGTTGAGGGCATTTTCGTTGTGGGACTACAGGTCTAGGAAGTTCGATCCAAGCGATCAGTTGTGTCACTATCCTGTGAGGCCGCAAGTACCACTCATCGTCCGCAGTTGTGTTCCGTCTTGTGTACCTACTTGGCTTTCTGTCTCATGTTCTGTGTCGCGAGCCTACTTAGCCTCCTGTTTTGTATTCCATGCAGTGAGTTCATTTGGCCCGTGTCTTGTGATGGAGCTGTGTATCTACTTAGCCGTGTTCTTCCACCGTGTGTGGCGTATCAATGCCAAATACTTTGTTATCAAGTCTCAGTTAGTTGAGACTTTCTGCGTCAAATGTGTGTGTCATCGTCCGATATAACACATTTCTGGCAACAGGGTTCTGTACAAAATGACGATATCTGACGCGGAACCCAAGAAGATGCTTCAACCATGTCTGAAGCTGGTAGAGATGTTGACCACGAGGTTCGGTGAACTAGGAACGACTCCGACCCCTACAGGACCTGCTTCAGATACAGTTATCCAAAATGTTGAGAACTTTGTCCATGATCCACAAACAGGTGCTGCGTTCGAAGCATGGTTCAAACGTTTTGAAGACATCTTCCATGTCGACCTAGCCTCCAAAGATGACGAAGGAAAGGTCCACCTTCTACTTCGAAAAGTGGGGCATGCTGAACACACTCCCTACTCAAACTAAATCCTTCCCGATGAATCGTGGGACCGCTATTCCAACCAAACGGTCCATGCTCTCCCAAAAAAATTTGGTGACACAACTTTTCGTTTTCAATGTCTCAAGCTGGTAAAAGGATATGTGGACGACTTGGTGACCTATGCCGTAATCGTTAACAGTGAATGTAACCGCTTCAAACTTGGCTCTCTAACAGAAGACCACTTCAGGTGCTTTATTTTCATTTCCGGTCTACAGTTTGCAACGCATTCTGACCTACGAACACTACTTTTACACAAGAATGATCAGCAGCAAGATACCACCCTGGAACAGCTAATGGAGGAATGTGAACGACTGATCAACTTGAAGCATGATGCAGCAATGATTCAACAGTCACATCGATCAACTAATGACGTTCACAAATTCGCTGTCGCTGAATTTCCTCCACCGGTCCGAAAACCGTACATGCCTTCGAACAGCGGCCCCGCCTAACCACCTTCTCCATGCAGACATGTGACGCCTGAGACTTCAATAAATTCTGCCCGTCCCGACGCAATCGTTGCCACAAGAATGGTTTCTGTTAACGTAAAGAATCTGAAGGGAAGAATATAGTCATCCCAGCTAAACCACAAAACAACTATCCCCTGTCGACTCGTTCGTATGGACCAGTCATAACATCACAGCTTCAGGTGACAGAACGCCGAAAGTTTGTCAGCCTAAATATTAACAACTATGATGTTCGTCTTCAACTAGACACCGGATCGGACATAACAGTCATTGCTAAAGAAAATTGGGACGTCATTGGCCGCCCGACGATGCAACCAACCTCATTGAACGCCACCAGCGCAACTAATCGGACAATTACAATGCACTGTGGTCTTCCGAGAGAAAATAATAACCGAGAAATGCTTTGTTATTGAATCTGACATCGACCTATTGCGAGCCGATTGGTTAAATGAGTTCGATCTCTATAACATGCCAATGAACAGTTTCTGTGGTCAAATTCAAGCAACGCCCACGTCCTCTTCGTCGTCCGCCGCAATAATGAAACAACTCAAACGCCCTGTCCCATACGCTGCATTACCACTCGTTGATCAAGAGCTAAAACGTCTTGAAGACCTCGTGAACCTGACGCTAGTCACATTTTCTGAGTGGACAGCTCCAATCGTGGTTGTACGAGAACCAAACAGTTCAATCAGGATATGTGCTGATTTCTCCACTGGATTGAATGCGGCTCTCGAACCTGACTGCTATCCACTGCCAGTTCCGGAAGGATATCTTCACGATTTTTAACGGGGGCACCTGCTGTGCAAAACTCGGCCTGGTTGAAGCATATTAATGAGTAAAGATCGCTCCTGAACCACAACCACTCCTCGCTATCAATACTCACCGAAGCTTGTATCATTTCACGAGGCTGCCCTTCGGCAATAAAAAGGCTCTAGCTATATTTCAACGTGTAGTGGACACCACGATATCCGGACTACTAGGTACAGCCGCATATCTTGACGACACAATCGTAACCAGCCAATTTCCGAAGGAACTCTACGTGCGTCTTTCTAATGTCCTACAAATAATTCAAAATCCTACACTACGCCTCAGGGTCAAAAAATGCCAATTCTTCCTCAAGTCCATCAAGTACTTCGGATTTGTTTTCGACGCAACCAGCCGACATCCTAACCCTGTCGACACACGCACAACTCAACGACTGTCTGCCCTAAATGGCGTGTCTTCGCTAAGATCTTTTCTGGGTGTGACCAGCTACTACGGCACCTTCTTACCTGATCTTTATCGTGTACATGCGTCACTTAACCATTTGCTGTGTAGAGACACTCCATGGAGTTGGTAAAAGTCGTGCCAAACGTGTTTTGAAAAATTGAAACAGATGCTGACACGTGAGTTGTTATTATCACATCACGACCCGAGCCTACCAATCATAGTGGCTGCCGATGCATTCAATCACGGTCTTGGTGCAGTTTTATCTAATATATTTCCTGATGGATCTGAAAAAGCCGTGATACATGCTTTACGCATTCTAACACCAACAGAGAGGAACCTTGGACAACTTGAAAAAAATACTGGCCCTTTTTTCGCAATAAAGGAGTTTCACAAGTTCCTCCACGGCCGTCACTTTGCTCTCATCACGGACCGTAAGCCTCTGTTGTCCACCCTCGACTCAAAGAAGGAGATCCCGGTATACACTCCCAGTCGTTTGCAACGTTGGGATACAATATTACTGGGATACGACTTTGAAAAATGTTACCACAAAACGACTGAATTTGGCCAGACCGATGGATTTGTCTCGGCCTATTGGACGGCAACGAACTGAAGATGAGGAGGTGGTCATTGCTTCAGTATCAGTGGAATACGACGTTTTGGAGCAATTCTCAGACGCGATTCGTGTGATTCCCATAACCTCAGGTACTCGCCGGATCACTAAACGCGACCCTATCCTGTCGCGGGTAATAAAATTTGTTCATTAGTCGACTGCAAAGCACATACATTTCTACCGCCGTCGTGACTCATTGTCAATTGTGGGATCCTGCCTCACGACGTGCCATTCTACAACAATTCCATACGCTACATCCGGGAATCACACGCATGAAGGCCATCGCGAGAAGATACACATACTGGCCTGTAATGGATAAAGATATTCAGGCCGTTGTACAACAACGTTCGCGGTGTCAACAAGCCGTTAATCTGCCACCTCATCAGACTCCGGTTCCATATTCCGTTTCTGATCGTTCTTGGTCCAGGTTACACATCGACTTTGTAGGACCTATTGAGGAAGCATCATATTTCATCGTTGTTGATGCTCTATCTAAATGGTTCGAAGTGGTTGCCACTAACCTATTGGTACTTCTCGTACATTTCGTTTCCTTTTGTACTAATTCTCTGCGTTATGCTGACCCTATCAAAACAAAAACCATAATACACCGAAAACAATTGACGTGCTTACTGGTCAGTTATTATGTGCGTCAATGAAGTGAACCATGTGTTCTACTTCTCACGCTGGCGACTGGACTGGCAAACGAAATTTGCGGCGTACCTTGAGATCGTCTGATGGTGCGACCACAGGGACCAAGCATTGTACGCTCGTGTTCAAAATGATGTAAATATGAGTGTGTTACCTCCTGAGAGTCAAAGCTTATGTTGAGCTACGAAAGGATCCTTCTTCATGTAGACAACGGAATTATTATTACAACACAAGCCATAAATCTATCTATCTTTGGCATGGATTAAAATCGAATCGACTTCATAACTACATCCGCGACATATTTTCCATGCAATCGGGGTTGGCACATTTTAACAATTGTAGGAGAAAGACCAACGCCGGTTTCGGTAATCCGGTAACCCATGTGCATCTTGACCCCCCCCCCCCCCAACCGCAGCTCCACTGTAAAAGTGCATGTAGCACTGAGGCACCTATGATGTATGTGACCCCAGAAAGCTGGCATCAAGACCACCTCAACAAAATGAAGAGAAAAACGACTAGGACAAATCTACTGAACTCTTATCAATACACGTACCCAGGAGTAGATCACAACCATCAAGAAGATCAGCTTCAACCAACTCCCGAGCCAAAACGTCCGCCGAATCTGCAAACCGGAAAATAATAAGGTCTTAGTCAAGAAGATGAAAGCATTAGTTTGAAAAATGTATCCCCGGACATTTTCCCGCATGTGTGCCCGACATACAGTCAAATTCCAGGTTGTGCAACCGATACTACTCTCCGTAGCAAAAAAATATACGACAGGTTATATTGTTTGAGGATAGAAAGAGGGAGAGTAGTATTAGTTATGTAAGTTGGAATTCGACTGTGTGTCGGCATTTCGACTCAATTGTGGCGATCAAGAAACTGTAGGACAGACTATGCAAGTGGATCGGACAAGACGAACTTCACAAGAGACAAAGACAAACAGTACATTGCAAGAGGAAACAATGAAAAGTTGGAATAGTTCGTCATCAAGTTAGCGTCAAGCTAACCGATAATTCACGTTGATTTCATAGACCGAAGCTGTGATTCAGAATGACCAATGAGATGCGAGAGCTTTACAAAAATATCGCATTTTATTCATGATAAGAATTGGGCTGTGAGCAAGACGAGGGCTTACCTTTCCCAGGAACGTAGTTGAAACTGATATCCTGTAGTTCGTTGTTTTGTTTAAGATTTCGTTTCCGAAGAGTTATCCTGTAGGATGGTCCTGCAGGCTGAACAGGTAACACATTGGGTTGAGATGTGTGAGCAGAGATAACAACATGAGTAAGCTATTCCACTCATTACAATTTGTTGCATCTGTAGCAGCGCTCAGTGTAAAAAGGCCTTACGGTAACAACCTATGACATGATGAATTAGTACGAACCGTTCATGTGAACTCAGGAAATTAGGGACTTCAGATGAAAGAATTCTGGACTGAAAATGAGACAAAATAGTGTTCATCCTGGTTTTGGTTTCCCGCGTAAGGCAAACTGATCGCCGCTGATCGAGATCGGGGTACTTACTCCCAGAAGTAATTATGTAACAGGAAGGCATAAAATAAACAATCCACGAAACAAGCCAAAAACTAGCTCGAGCATGCCAGGTCGGGTCGACCAGTCAGTAATCGATAAGCCGTCAAACCATCTAGGGCTTAACCTTTCTGGCTTACCGAAAAGTTCTACGCAGTCCGGTAGAAATCAGACCAATAATCAGTAGTTCAAACTGTCCGGTGTATGGTCAACCTGACAAGGCTTTGGCCTGACTGGACACTCGAGTTCGAGAATGATCCATTTTTGTTTTGAATACCATGTTACTAATTTATGTAAATAGGCTGTCGTTTTGCTGTGTTGCCATCTTTTGATTTGTCATTGCAAGCTTGAGCGATGGGAGTCGCGAGTAGAGGTTAGGGCATAGACCATATGAAGAAATCACGCAGTAGACGAAAACAAGCGTTACAACAGTGTGCCTTCCAAAAATGATGAATACTTGTCTCAACACGTGACGCGGGCGAGCATACGTGATCAGCAATCTCATTCTCAAGCCAATGTAAACACGTTTATATGAAAAATGAATACATAAATTAACAGGAACCAAGGTAGGCTTGAGCAAACAAGTGGGGTGTATGGGGTATTTGAGAGGAGTAGCACATCTGAGTTGACAGATTGTCGTGCCCCTTGGGGTATCTTCCGTCTCTTTGGTATTCATCACCTGCCCAACTCTCACCTGTAGCTCCACGAAGCTGAGGCGTGCATCAGCGACCACAACCCAGCAAACCGCTCGACAGGCAGGCCAAAGCAGGTTGAGGATAACCGATACCTAAAAATCTCGGTGAGACGGTGCCCAGCATGCGAAGACGGATACTCCTGTATAGACGGATGAGATCCGCCGGGATCCAACGACTACCAAGAAAATTCGTCCAATCAACAGGGTTGCATGGACCCCTGGGTCTAGGTGACTTCTACCGAATGGCGAACGAGGTCCCAGAGAATCATCGACAACCGTGAACCAAGATCACTAGGGCGCGTTGGGCATCCCGGATTGGTAGACTACCATCTAAAAGCCGTACAAACCGCTCGTTCGGTCACCAGCTCCCAACACAAAAACTTCCTGTTGCCCAATAGGTAGCACTTGGCTATGCACGGGCTAGAGTTGCTACCTCGAACAAAAAGCCGAGTGAAGCTGGGGACGTCATTTCGTACCAAATTCCCAAGACTATTCATGACAGGTTTCCTTTCATTCGGGACATGCATGAAGCCGGCCCATCCTCTCGCAGGAGCTAGCCGCATAAGAGTGAAGTGAGTAAGTGAGCAAACAAGTGAAAATTGGCCGTCCAGGTGGAAGAGACATACTGAATGACTCATCGATTACTTTGATATTAAAAAGCTTGGTATTGCTACAATCCATCTCGATGGTAGCCAGCACAAGGGTAATCTCATACCTCTGTGACCCAATGAACCGATGTTTGAAATAGTAATCTACGAAAACACATTTTCGTCTTACAGAGCTAATCGAAAAGAGAATCATGTGGTGAATGAAGATTTTGTTTTAGAAGTAAATTCAGGCTATTTTCCAATGAGTAATCCCAGAATCAATGTTCTCCATTCTTGTTTCATACATCTTTGTTCATTGTCTTTCTTGGCTCACCCGAATTTATTAAAATGAAACACATTTGATTACTTGGTACAGAGATGTCTCGCCCGTGCGAATAAAAGTTCAATGTTCACAGAATGTAATGGTGGAAATGCCATCAAAACGCTAATATATATTTCACCTTTGAGCTGGGTATTCATGATTATTTTGGATGAAGAGTGAGGTCCTAACTAAAGCAGTTCAATCTATTTCAGTTCGAATAACCATAAACCATGCATTGGGTGCATTGAATACCCGTTATTATATTATTGCGTGAATCACAATCGGAAATCAAAACAATCAAGGGCAAGAAAAAAGTAAAGAGCCAATAAATAGTAGGATAGGATATAGGAGCAAACCAAGTAGACACAAAAAGTTTGAAATCAATACACCACTGATCGTGAGACTTGATTAAGTCGACTAGTATCTCCTGAACCCCATCTGAAAGCCCAAAGCAGCCACTGGTTGGAGTTTTCATACAGTTTAGGCTTATCGTGCACGGGCGGACCACCTCAATTCATTTAATCTGTACCCGTCTCGGGGAACCACATAGGCTAAGACAACCCGTGACAATATTGGCTGACAAATCACCGATAGACGGCACAATTCCGTCGGTGGACAGCCCATCATTGCCTATGCGGAATCGATGGCAAAAGTGGAGTCAGCGAAGCGGATTGTTTGTGACAAAACAGAACGAAATCGACAAATCAGCTATCTACAGCTGTTCTAACCGAACGGGGTGAAATGAGTCAATCGAACTTGTAACTAAAAGAATCAGTCAGGAGGCTCGGTTAAGAAAAACATTTTAGACTAACGCGCTTCACACGATGTCTTTGGCTACAATCACCTGACACCTTATACAAACTGTCTGTTTTGTGTTAAAACGAGCGCCGCTGGTCGAGACACCTGGTCATACCATTCGATGTAATCAACCACTGAGTGGGTGGATCGTTTGGACACCAGCACCGTATGGTCAAGTCCATCGGTCGGTTTATTTATACCTTTCTTCCATGTCAGGTAGTGGTCATTCTTCAAACGAATATTTACCTCCGTAAACATTACACGCCAAGCAATTCTACCGGGGCACGTGTAACAAATGAAAATCAGTTAATTCAACCATCAAACCTCACACTTCTGCGCTCTGGTTCTGGTTATTACTTCGCAGCTTCGTCAAGTTGAGGGCAGAACGAACAGAAGCATGAAGTTAAAATAACCAACAGCAAAGTAATAAGTGGGAATTAAGAAGACAAATAAATAGTCTGAAAGCAACTACGACACCAGCTGCGACACTTAGTCAAATCACTGTGTCAACAGTCACATTGTAGGTGAGTCTCGGGGACCATAACCCCGAATTCTCACACGATCCGCCTGACCAAGTTCAGCGCTTGTGCCATGTCATGGACTGACCACCTGGACCTACCGTCCGACCGGTGGTAGTCGAGTGGTTTAAAGCGTTTACTTTCCATTTCATAGGTCAACAAAACGAACAACGTCACCGCCGATCACGTTGGTGGTAGACTGTTTTCCGGCTCGTTACCAGACCTAGCTCATTGGGACCTTATGTGGTTCTCCAATCCAAACCTCTGCGTCTGGTTACCCACTACCTCAAATACCGCAGTGAACCTTTGAGGCTAAGGGGTATACTATTTCTGTTGCACTCACGTGTCAGCATGTAATGAATAAAAAAACCGTGTCTCGGAAAACAGTGTAGGCCAAGGAATCCATCGATGGGTAGCACAACACATGTCCCAGACACCTTAACCTGTTCGGATTCGGTACCTGTTCCAGTGACTAACCACCGGTTCACAGCACCCTACGCAATGACACCACATGCGTAATCTGAAAACGTGGTGGGACGTAACTTCCGAGGTAAAAAACCTATCTATTCCAGCTAGGTAATCCCGTGATAAGACAGGGTTTGGTGTAGCGTTAACTCAGTCCTGCAGCAGCATTTTACACTTCGAAGGTGCAAAAAGCATCCCAAACATCGCTACACTATTGTTGAGGTCAGCTGGAAATCCTTGCAATTTACCCAGGTCTTCACTGAGAAATATATTTTCCGCATATTCTGAGTCTTTTTTATTGCGTGCAAGAGCACGAGTGCAGTGGAAGGGGTATACCCCATAGACACAAAAGCTCACTGCACAATTAGGGATAGCCAATATACAACTCCTGGGGCTTGGAGTGGATAATCACAGAAGGTCCCAATGGGCCACAGGTGGTAACGAGCCGGACGACTATGGGGATTACTGCCTACCACCAAGTGTGGCGGGACCTTTGAATCTGGCAGCGCTGTTCCATCTGGATCGGGATATATATACCACATAACCGTACACGCATCCACTAGTTTGCCGTTTTCTTCACTTATTTGTACCACTAAAGTTATGCTTATTTCGGTGAAATATTTGAGATTTACTGAAAAACTTCACGAACAAGAACCTCCTATCGGAACTGGCCTATTTTAGACACATGGTACGCAATGAATAGAAAAGAATTTTTCAGAAAGATTAGAGCTCAATCAAGAGAACGCCGCGCGGGCTGGAAAGTAGCACTTTGCAAAAAATTTATTTATACCATGTGCCTACTCGTTGCAATCAGCAACAACGTTTGATCTCTACTGAGCGATTTTTCGGTGCTGTTGGATCTTGTTGGGACAAGGGAGTACTCTCAGCTCGGAGCGACCCTATTGCAAGAAAGTTGGCTTTACAGTGATACTGACCATGGTTTTACTGGATATCGTGGGGATCGCCTAAAACACATCGCAAGCGAGGTGGTGGAGTTATCACGTACATCAACAATCGTTGATGTGAACAAATCAGAACCGTTTTCACCTATCCTACAATTTTCGTTAGCTGTTCCGTAAACGAATGCACGTCCAAAACATTTAGCAGGTTTTGCTCATTTCTGCTAGTGAATGTATACATCAGTTCTTAAATGTTCTACGACAGACTATCTGGAATTGCTGGACTCAGTTTCACAAATCTTGGTAAACTATGCTGATGTTTCATTGTGCATAACTGCTAGCGATTTCAATCGTTTTGCTGCGAGCTTTCTTTATCCCTTCGGTTTGATGAAAACTAATATTTTCAACTAGAATGAACGC